CGAATGATAATCATCACTCTGAATCTTCGAAGCATAATGATGACTTGGAAATTCCTCAAAACATAGTAGATGTTAATTCAACAATGAACTCTCATGGAGTTGGAGAAAGTATGCTTAATAATCCAGTGGAAGGAGAGAACTTGGATTCGAATCCTCTGGTTGAGGGGGAGCATTCTTTCGAGGGGGAGAATGGGAGAATGGATGATGTTGTTGAGGGGGAGCATCTAGTTGAGGGGGAGCATCAAAATGATAATCATGTTGAGGAGGAAAATGATACAATAAATTTTAATCAAAACGATGATTTTCATTATCTAAATGATAATGTTTCTGTTGTAGGATCTGAAAATGAAGAGATGTACGAAGATGCACCTTTGGAATTTGATCCAGCTTAGCCACCATTAGAGAAATGGACAAAGACTCATCCTATAGATCAAGTCATTGGAAATCCTCAAGATGGAGTTTTAAAAAGAGCTCAGATTCGTGCGAAGAATGAGGTATTAAATACTCATCAAGAATTTTGCATGTTCAATGTTTTCATATATAAAATTGAACCAAAGACAGTTAAGATGGCAATGGAACACTCAGATTGGGTTGTTGCAAAGCAATCTGAACTGGCTGAATTTGAAAGAAACAAGGTTTGGAGATTAATTCCTAAACCTGAAAATGTTTCAATTGTCGGGTTAAAATGGATTTTCAAAAACAAAACCGACAAAGATGGAAATCTTATATGAAATAAAACACGACTAGTTGTAAAAGGATATTCACAACAAGAAGGGATTGATTATGAAGAAACTTTAGCCCCTGTTGCAAGACTCGAGGCTGTTCGAATATTCTTAGCATATGCAGCTCATAAGGATTTTGATGTCTATCAAATGGATGTGAAATGTGCCTTTCTCAATGGAGAACTCGAAGAAACTGTTTACGTAGAACAACCTCCAGGTTTCGTAAATGAAATGCATCCTGATCATGTATATATTCTAGATAAAGATGTATATGGGTTAAAACAAGCACCAAGAGCATGGTATGGAACTCTTACCAGTTTCTTAAAACAGTCGAAATTTAAGCAAGGATCAGTTGGCCCACATTATTTCGAAAGAAAGTTGGGAATCATCTGATGCTTGTTCAAATTTATGTTAACGATATTATTTTTGGCTCTACTGACCCTGCTTTGTCTAGTGAATTCGAAAATCTGATGAAAAGCCAATTTGAAATGAGCATGATGGGTAAAATAAATAATTTTCTTGGCTGAAACATATGTCAAAACAGAGAGGGCATATTCATCAATCAAGAGAAATATGCAATGAATTTGCTCGAAAAGTTTGGATTGACAAATAGCACGAAGTTAAGAGTACCAATGGCTGTTGGCACAAGGCTAACACCTTCTTAGAAACGCCTGCGGTTGATCTTACTTTATACAGCAGCATGATAGGTTCATTGCTTTATCTTACTGCAAGTAGACCTGATATCATGTTTTCTATATGTAATTGTGCTAGGTATCAAGCAAATCCTCGAGAACCACATTTAACGGTTGTGAAGAATAATTTTCGTTATCTCAAGAGAACAATTTCATTAGGATTGTGGTATCCTTTGAAAACAGGGTTTTTCATTCAGGCATTTTCAGATGCAGATCTAGGAGGGTGTACTTCGGATCGAAAAAGTACAAGTGGTGGTTGTCAATTTTTGGATGGAAAGTTGGTTAGTTGGCAGTCGAAGAAGCAAACGTGTGTTTCGATTTCTACTACTGAAGCCGAATATATAGCAGTTGCTGCTTGTACATCACAAATTATTTGGATTTAAAGTCAGCTGAGAGATTATGATGTAAATATGAAAAAGATTCCATTGTACTGTGATTCTCAAAGTGCTATACGCATTTGTCATAATCAGTTTATCAAAGATCATGTAGCTCTTCGTTATCACTTTATCAAAGATCATGTGGAAGATGGAAACATTGAAGTTCATTTTGTAAAAACAACTGATCAGCTTGCTGATATTTTTCCAAAAGCATTGGATGAAAAATCATTTGTTCGAATTTTGACATGTTTGGGAATGATTGAAGCGAGTTCTGTTCCAGGAAGGATTTCGAATGTATATCAAAGGTGTATTATACAAATGTGTCGATTCAGAGGCAATAATACGTCATTCAGCGGTTACTGTTCATAGTCAACGCTTCGACACGCTTCGAATTCGACAATTTGCATGTTGGTTGTATGGTACAAAATTTTCGTAAGTTTGTCAAATTTTCGTAAGGTTGTCCAATTTTTGTTAGTTTGTCAAATTTTCGTAAGAATGGCAAATTATAGTTTATTTACAAATTTTCGTTTGTTTGTAAAACTGTTTTTCATAAATTTGTGTCTTAGTTTTCTTTTCGAAAAATCAAAAACTCCAAAAAGATTTTATTTTCGTTTTGTTGTTATCTTTTCGAAAAATCAAAAACTCCAAAAAGATTTTATTTTCGTTTTGTTGTTATTTTTTTTTTCTTTCGAAAAATCAAAAATACCAAAAAGATTTTCTTTTGTTAATTGTGTTAATTTTCGAAAAATTCACAAAAACTAGAAAATATTTTCTTTCTGTTAGAAAAATCAAAAATATCAAAAAGATTTTTGTTATTTTCTTTTGTTTCTTTTTCTTTGTGCAGATAACACGAAAATTTTTCAAGGGGCATGCTTGTGTTTCTATGGGAAGGTAAACGTTCGACAACTATGTACTAGTTCCACTGTCCCTAGAAGCATGATGCAGCATGTTGACCCAAGCCTCTGTAGACTCAATGTGCGTTTATGAAAGCCTTAATGAAATTTTTCATACAAAAATTTCTTCCCAAGCCAGGCTTATATTCGCATTAGTCGATTGAGCTACCTTACTCTTCTCACATGAATTAAGAGTTATCTGTTTTGTCCGAAAATAACAGAGGTACAATTTGTTACTCAAAACCAATCTTTTTCATCACCAAATTTCTTACACTTGCACACACGAAGACATATGTCCAAGAGATCTTTGATTCGACCCATCAATATCTAGATATATCAAAATTCTGTGTTAATGATCTGACATCATGAGGTTGTGATGAAAGTGAAACCCAACTTCCTATCTTAGTAAGAAATTGACGGGGAACTATGTTCCAGATTTGATGAAACATTTGTTTCAGTACCATTTTTCGAAACTCAAAATCATATTCTATTCTCATTAGTGATCTTGATCAAACTATCGAAGCCCACGTTGTTTGTTACCCAACAAGATCCAGAACAAATATTTTTTTTTTCGTGAATATGATTTCTGTATGCGTTTCATTTTCATTCAAAGTTACTATCAACATACTTCAAATCATACTTGTCACTGACTACACTGGTCAAACAAGTAATTTCTGTTACGATTACTCACCTTATGTTTAGGATGATATGTAACGAAATTATAAACCACCCAATAAACCTAACAAAAGAAGCCCTTCGATACTTCTCTATAAGTATTCGATTGTAATTCACGGGAACATACACAAGCAGTTGATTATATCTCTTGATAATTAATGAATCAATCTTTGCCCGGGGTTTCTCTGCTTTTGTGTTGAATTTTTTTTTTGACATCACAGATCCAAATTTTCGTTAATTTGTTTCGTATCTTTTCTTTGGCACACTGCACACACGAAATCCTTGAGGTTCTGAGTACTACCAACTCAGGCTGATGATTTCGACAGTCTAGCAAATGACTTTGTCTCTAAACCCAAAGACAAAAGAGCTTAACCTCCATCCGAAGGTCGATGACGGTTACTATTCCTTGAGGTGACACGAACAGACTGTGTGAGAAGACGTTTCCTGATTTTAAGGCGGTGTGACAGTTACTTTTTGATGCATGGCAACTTTATTGGCAGACTGGTGCGACTTTTAAGGTGCCACGTCAGATCTCAATCAATGCTAATCCCGCGTTCAATTCAAATTCAGGGTTACATATAAAAAGGGTATTTAGGGGTTCTTTGTCGCTTTACGCTCACAAAAGAAATCAAATACCCAAATTCTCTCTGTTCTTCAAAGCTTCAAAACCCTAATCATGGCTGGTGTTGATTCTGGTTCTCGAACAACTGAAGACATCACTTCTCAACCAATAATGAAGATTCAAAGCACCAATTATCAAGTGGAAGGGGGATGTGTCTCTGTATCCTGAAGAATTGAAGATGTTAATCGTAGCATTGAAGAGTTCTGTTCTTTCAAAGGCGATGTTCAACTCATTCGCAGTTCCTCTCTCATGGATTTCTCAGGCAGGATCCACTGCTACATATAGCAAAGCAATGGATATCATCACCTTTCAACTGGTGAATGGCAAGAAAATTCGTCTGTCCAAGAAGATCTTTTTTCCAGATTCTGGATATTCCCAATTCTCAACTTGTTACTAATCTCACTTATGCACAAGTTGTTCATATGTTTAATGAGATGGGTCATCAACGCCCACTCATGAAGATTAGTGATTTCAAGAAGTCGGCTCTTCCAACTGTTTGGAATTTCTTGTTTGGAATTTTTCTTCGATGCTTGACTGGTCGAAGTGTTGGATTAGACAAAGGTCGCATGGAGGTTTATGCGATGGTGGCAGGATTATACTATGATCTCTCTGTCGACTACTCTACACAACTGTTGAAGGAATTCCAAAAGAGTGTCGAAAACACGAATGTGGTTCAGGGCATTTTGTGTGCTAGGTATTGGAGTTTGATACTTGGATATTTCTATGAAAAAGAAGGAATTGTTGTACCTGCTGATGAAGAATTACCTGCTGATATGGAAGTATTCACACACATTTCTCGGATTCCTGATTCAATGTTAAAGACGGTTGAGCCAACAAATTCGATGTTGGTGGAGTACTTGAAAACTATCAATCTAGATGTTGAGACTGGAAAATTATTGTCGAAAGAAGAGGCTGGTCCTTCTAAGAAGTGAAAACGTTCTAAGAAGGATGTAAAGGCTACACCTGAGAAACCCGTGCACGAAACTAAAAAGTCTCCTGAGAAGATTGTGCACGAATCCATGAAGTTTCCAAAGAAGCCTGAGACTGCTGAAGTGAATGTTTCGACTGTTGTCATCAAACCAGTGGAACCAGTTGATGATACTGTAGTTGCAGAGAAAATTCCTTCCAAATCTGGTGTTTTTCGAAGATTGAAGAATAGGACTAGGGGTTCACGAAAATCCTCTGATGGTGTGTTAAAATCTTCTCCTTCCAACGTTCGTAAACCACAACTTTCTCATCAATGGGTCATTTTTCTTGAGGTTCCAGCTCCAGTTTCGCCTTTGTCAAAGAAACATATAGCTGAAGATGTGGCTAAACATATTTTAAAGAAGAAGAAAATGCAACGAAAGTTGGTTATTCACGAGGAGTCATCCGACGAAGACATAGTTCCAGAGACACCAGAAACAATTGTTTTTCAATCTGTCTCTACTCCTGAGAAGACTACTGTCATACCACCCGAAGTTTCGTTAACTGAATCACATACTGAGGAGGTTCGAACTTCAGGCATTTCTACACACGAATCTGATACGGATGTAAATGTCAATATGGGTGAGGGCGAGTCGAACAAAGAAGTTACTGCTACTACTCAAGGTATTCCTGTATCTTCGAAAACGGATACTTTCGTGTCATTACCTCCTTTTATTGTTCCACATACTACAAGTTCACCTACATTTGAAAACATTCTTCATCAACCCTTTACAACTCTTTTTTCATCTCAATCCACCGATCCACCCAAAAACGATTCACAAGTTAAAGGTTCACCTGTTGTTGAACCTGATACTGACAACGAAGGTTTTGGAGGCATGTTTGAAGATTTACAGTTTGATGATGAAGAAGATAACTTTCCTGATCATATGTTGATGACGATGAAACAATTCAAGATTCTCAACAAGAAATTGAATTCTATTCTTCAATCTCAAGCAGATTTGGGGAGTAGTTCGTCTGTCTCAGGTATGGAAGTTGATAGTCTGTTGAAAACCTTCGAAGCAAAGGTGGTGAGTAAAGTATCTGGAATGGTACGAGATTCACAGATTCGACTATTGGAGAAGGTTGATCACAATGATCAAAATGATGAGTTAAGAGTGAATTCTCTAACTTCGATGTTTAGAGGGGAGGTGAAAGAATTTTAGCATTTGGTGAAGGAACTACATGTGTTATTCGTTCAGGATGTAAAGAAAGTAAGAGAAGATGTGAATTTGCAACTTCAGGAGCTTCGACAGGATATGCAAAAGGAGATTTCAATTGTGCAAAGAGATTATGCTTCCATCAATCAAAAGGTTGATATTATTTGTGATGCTGTTACCAAATATGTCAAGTTGTACGAAGATTTGAGTCCTCAACTTACTCAAATTTCGACAACGGAAAATCAAAGCTTTATGGAAGTGCTCAAACTGTTGAAGGAGCTAAAAGATTTAACTGTTAAATCAGTTTCATCTCCGTTGATTACTCCGTATTTTTTGTCTCAGAAGTTCGTTCATTTTGAAGCCATATTACACAAACAACTACCTCCTCTTTCTCACATTTCGAGCCTTCTTCCAACGAATGTCCCACCTGTTTTCATAGGGGTGCAAAGGGGAGAAAAGGAGGTTGGTGGTATGAAGGCTGGTAGTGAAGATTTGCATGCAGATGCAAAGGTTGTTGGAAAGGTGTTTTCTTCGAAGGTTCCAATAACAAAAACCGATCATGTCAACAACTCGGCTAGTTACTTCAACTGTTGTAACAACGAAGCCAATTTCAATGAAGCCACTTTAAAGACCATTTTCCAAAGGAATTATGATTGGGGAAGATGGCAGCACTTCAAAGCCTAAGGAAGTTTTGGATAATTCCTCAGTTAAAGACAAAGGCAAAACGGTTATGGTCGAAAAGTCAAAGGAGGAAAAGAAAGCTGAAGCTGAGGCCGAGGTTGAAAAGCTATGAATCGTGCAAAGCATTATGCGACTTCGTGCGAATGATCCACCTGTGATGAACAAGGGTGATCCTTCAAAGCATTACAACTATGAGATGATAGAGTCGAAAGTTGCATATAATCATATGTATGCCTTCGAAAAAAAGCGAAAGCAGAGCAATGTTGTTCTCAACACAGACATGAGTCAATTGGATTTTCCCATTAATGAGATGATGTTCATTATGGCTCAGTACAAGATAGCTGAGAAATTTGACAATGACGATGAGTACACTTACATGAAGATCAAATTTCATGTTGTACTTGGAAAGCTTCCAGAGGAGATTTGGTCACTGGTGAAGATAAAGAAGGTGATAAGCATAAAGCAAGATGTGTTGTTCGAAAATATGATGCAGAATCTTAGCTTTATTGTTTCAAGGGCAAATGGGCAAGTTTGTGATTTTTCAGTGGTTGACTTTCCTTAAATGAACTTGTATGATCTGATACAAGTTGCATTGCTGTTAAAGGATAAAGACGCTTCATATCTTCGAGAAACTGATCCTGAAGTTTTTCGAATTGGGTTGGCTCACATCAAGATTTTCATTGACAACTATTATGAGTGTTTAGCACTTACAGATGTTGAGTTAGCTACAACTAAGGGATTGACAGTAAAAGTGCCCATGGAACTTCCTTTAACTCAACCTGAGTTGAAGAAGTATGCAGACGGAGAAATTTGTTTGAAGCCATTTGGTTTGGTATTTGCTGGGAAGGATAAAAATGGGAAAGCTAAAAGGTTCTTGTTTCAAGCTTCCGAAGTGGAAAGATACACAACATCCCAATATACGAATTTCATTGTTCGTATGAATACATGTAAGAAGAATAAAGAAGGAGATAAGAAGGAGCTGAAGAAGATTATCTCATGGTACACTGAGATTCGAAGGGTTATGTTGTATGCTATACAGATACTCTTGAACTGACGAAGGTCGGCATTATTACAAAGGGGGAGATTGTAAAGGTCGAATTTAGTTGTAATATGTCGAAGTCTTTTGTACCCTTCGTATGTTTGTTAAGTTTATTTACTGAGGTGTATTTCGTACGAAGCTTAAATGTCAATGCCTTAGTATTTTTTGTATGCTTTCACTGTTCCTATAAATAGGGAACTTTACTAGAGTTAGATAAGAGTCCTTTACAGAACCAGTCTATTTTCGCTATAAATGTTGAAAGCATAAATGAGCAGAAATCAGATCTTATTTACATCGTTTGTTCAATCTGCATTCGTTTTACTCTGATTTTGATTAATACTTGATTCCACGATTCATCAGGCGGTGATTGATTATGAGCGTCAGATGGTACGGGTTCGGACCCCAAGTGGGGTAGAGTTGGTGATCTATAGAGAGGGGGGCTCAGCGCGGGCCGGTCCTATGCTCGGCCCCTAGGGCCAAATGCTAACTTCATCAGGGTTCTTCCGGTTTCGTCGCCTATGTTATGGATTCCCAGGAAAAGGGTAGGCATCGGTTGGGGATGTGTCGATTGTGCGGGAGTACGCGGATGTGTTTCCGTAGGATTTTCCTGGAGTGCCTTCGGAGAGGCAGGTTGAGTTCCGGATTGATTTGGTTCCTTGTGCGACTCTGATAGCCAAAGAAACATATCGGTTAGCTCCACCAGAGATGCAGAAGTTGTCTACACAGCTGCAGGAGCTGTTACACAAGGTGTTTATCCGACCGAGTAGCTCATCGTGGGGTGCACCGATCCTGTTTGTAAAGAAGAAGGATACTTCGCATCGGATGTGTATTGACTACCGGGAGTTGTATAAACTAATGGTGAAGAACTATTATCCACTCCCAAGGATTAATGATTTTTTTGACCAGCTTCAAGGTGCATCTTGATTTTCCAAGATTGATCTTCGTTCAGGTTATCATCAGATGAGGTTCAGAGAGGACGAAATGCAGAAAACCACCTTCTAGACTCATTATGGTCATTACAAGTTCGTGGTGATGCCTTTCTGACTCACGAATGCTCCAGCCGCATTTATGGACCTCATGAACCGTGTGTGCCGACCGATGTTGGATCGGTCTATGATTGTATTCATCGATGACATCCTGGTCTACTCTAAGACCCAAGAGTTGCATGAGGAGCATTTGAGGGAGGTGTTGGAGACCCATAGGAGGGAGAGATTGTATGCGAAGTTCTCCAAGTGTGAGTTCTGGTTGCGCGAGGTGCAGTTCCTGGGGCACCTTGTCAACGATAGTGGTATTTTGGTCGATCCGACCAAGGTCGAGGCCGTGGTCTCCATCTGAGATTCGGAGTTTTTTTGGGTTGGCAGGATATTACCAGAGATTCATTCAGGATTTATCCAAGATAACGGTTCCCCTGACACGACTGACGAAGAAGACTACCACTTTAGTTGGGGGCCTGAGCAGCAGACAATGTTTGAGACCCTGAGGAAGAGATTGTGCGAGGCGTTGATTCTGAGCCTGCCGGAGAGTGTTGAGAATTTCGTGTTCTATTGTGACGCGTCTATCACGGGATTGGGTGCTATTTTGATGAAGATGGGCCATGTTATTTCTTACTCTTCGAGGCAGAAGAAGCCTCATGATGCGAATTACCCGACGCATGATTTGGAACTGGGGGTTGTGGCTTTCGCTCTCAATATTTAGCGACATTACTTCTATGTGGTCCGATGTACTATTTTCACGGATCACAAGATCCTAAGGTAGTTGATGGATCAGCTGAATCTGAATATGAGGCATCATCGATGGTTGGATGTGGTGAAGGACTATGATTATGAAATCCTTTCCCATTTGGGGAAGGCCAATGTGGTGGTTGATGCTTTCAGCCGCAAGGCGGTCATGGCTCTAATTAGGAATATCTATTTGAGGATGACAGTGATTACCCCATTCTTGGAGCAGATTTGGGAGGCACATGTCGAGGGTATGAAGGAAGAGCACCGAAAGAGTGAGCACATTGTGGGTCAGGTGGCGTCCTTCGATTATGATAGTTTGGGTTTATTGACTCCCCATTAGAGAGTGTGGTTTCCATACTGGGGTGGTGTGCCTTAGGTCCTGATGGAGGAGGCGCACAAATTGAGATTCTCCATTCATCCCGAGGCGACAAAGATATATAGAGATCTTCATCCTGATTATTGGTGGCCGTGCATGAAGCAGGATGTAGCTTGGTATGTGGAAAGGTGCTTGACTTGTTGGAAGGTCAAGGCCTAGAATCAGAGACCTCACAACAATATGCAGCTGTTAGATATTCCCGTTTGGTAATGGGAGCAGATTATCATGGATTTCATTACGAAGTTCCCTCGGACTGTGCGCGTAGTGGATTCGATTTGGGTCATTATGGATCGGTTGTCCAAGAGTGCGCATTATATCCCGATTTGGGAGAGTATCTATGCGGAGAAGTTAGCTGAGATATACATCAGGGAGATCGTAGCATGACATGGGGTGCCGGTTTTTGACATGGATGTCCGGTTTACATCCTGATTTTGGAAAAGGTTCCACGACGAGTTGGGTACTCATCTTCATTTCAGTATGACTTTCCACCCAAAGAATGACGGTTAGAGCAAGCGAACTATTCATACCTTGGATCACATATTTCGGGTGTGTGTTCTAGATTTCGGAGGTAGTTGCGATACTTATCTTCCGTTAGCGGAATTTTCGTATAACAATAGCTATCACGTCAGCATTGATCGACCTCCTTTTTAAATGATCTATGGGAGGACATACCGGACCCCGATATGCTGGGGAGAGGTCGGTCAGCGAGTTATGGGGAGTACCGAGGTGGTACTCAAGACTACCGAGTTGATTGAACAGGTTCGAAGTAGATTTCAGACAACTCAGAGTCGGCAGAAGAGCTATGCCAACAAGCGCCGATCAGACTTGGAGTTTCGGGTTGGTGATTGTTGGATTAGGTGTCTAAGCCCATAACTATAATTGGTATGTACTTGAGCCGAGAGTAGCGTGGTCCTTTTAGGTTGCCTTCACCAATGGAACTTGCTAGGATGGACTTTTGAGAATAAGGTTATTTGTGATTTGTTAATAGATTACAAGTATAATATATTAATATGAAATCATATTATTTAATTAGTATTGATCAAGAATTAATTTGGAATTAATTTAGTGATCAAAAGGAGACTAATTAAATATACGGGGTTTGATTTGGTAAATCAATGATTCTTATAGTGTGGGCCAATGATCCATGATTAGTTAGGATGGGCTAAACCAACATGGATAGTCGATGGAG